GAGGTCGAAATGTTCAGCCTCACTGTTTATTGTTTTCCACATTTTGACATTATCTACAAATAACAATGTCGGGGACTTAATAAGTCACCGTAGAGAAGAAAAGCAGATCACCTGAGATAGTGCCTTGGCGTACATTGCTTTTGACCAGCTTCCATTCAGATGATTCCCCATTTACCCTCACTCTCTGTCTTAAGCCACAAAGGACGTTTCTTATTAATTCCTCTACAGTACCTGTCATTCCAAAGCTCAACAACTTCTGCATAAGTCCTATGAGAGTAAGCTTTCCGATCGAACTGATTCCATTTTCCGAAACGCCTGTTTATTATTATTCCTTAAAGCTCCCAAATGCCCTATTACGGCCTAGAATTTCGAGAGAAATTGTCTCACACAGCCACGCGTATACAGCCTCTGCCAAGGAAGTCCTACTAACTGCTTTCTCGTGTTGTAGGTGGTGTTTACGAAATTGAGAGGACCAAAAGCAAATGTCTGGCAATTTAACCAGGTCGGTGGACACGGAAAGTCCACTTATGGGAGTTGGAAAACTCTGATTCCAAACCAATGGTGCACATGGGCTCCAGGATCCTGAAGGAACAAATGGCGTATGAATCAATCGTCGGCCACCGGCTACCATGGGACTGCATCCCTTCACGATGCGTCACTGCCCTGTGGATCAGACCTTTAGGTCGAAGGCTCGCGGTGTGGTCCCCTAATAAAACCACTTCCTTCAGTTTGGGCACCCGGGTAGCATTACAGCCCTCACACAAATCAAATGAGATTTGTGTGGCGCATATATATTTGTTGACCCTTTATACCAATATTTATGTGTTTAAATAAAATAAAATAAAAATTATTCCTTAAAGCTCCGCACTTACGTAGACTGAGTTATCGGTTGAATGTGAAACACTACAAACCATGCCGAGTAACTACCAAAGAAAACGAATATTTGATCCTTACGGTAATACTTTTCCAACCACGGGAAATATGATAAGCACTTTTGGTTGAAGTTTACAACTTACGGTTTATTTAGTATCTCGTTTTAAACGTCACGTAAAACAGTGATTTGCACAAAGTTCGCGTATCAATGACTCTTAGGTTATTCACATTAAGTTGTTTTCGGGATACTATGCATGAGTGTGACATCGACAGAATGTCTGTTGTCCAACATTCTTAGAACACGTAAGTTGTTCAGGCATGATCGCTTATTACGAAATCTGTGTTCCTCGAGAGTTAACAGATTCGATGATTCTGTGTGATTTGGTAACTTAGCCGAACTTATTCTTTAAAGTAACTTGACCATTATGTTGATTGGACTGACAGGTCAGTATTTACTTACGACCTGTCTTTGTCCACATATAAATATAGGGTTAAATATCGCATATTTACACCACATAGATCTTTGGGTGTGGGAGAGGGACATGTTGAACCGCATCGTGATTGCTCCTGAAATAATGTCCCTGAGAGATGACAACAATCGTGGATGTAACCCATTAGGACCTTCTAGGTCTGAGGTTATTGACCAATTGAAGAAGAACTTCCTCAGTCACATATGCAGGTCCTATAGCTAGTTCCTTAGTGGTGTGGTTACGACAAGTTTTGTTAACAATGCCCGTACAGAAGACTTCACTGAAATAGTTCAATAAAGTCTCAGCTTTGGCTAAGTCTGATTCAGCTAATACGTCTGTACTTTTGTCTAACAGTGAAAGAAGAATACCATTTAAATGTTTTCCTCCGTCTAATGTACAAAAGCAATCGTTTCGGGCACTCACAGCTATGATGTGTCAACTGCTTTTTGTAAGTCATGCGGCACCTAGCTATGGTCTTTTACATATATTCCGGATGGTTTTGTATTTCCCTATTGAACCATATAGGGAAATATGACAGCCTGCGTGTTGACCATAGGATGAAAGGTAGTCTTACAGACTCGAATAGAGCTTTGAACTTATCCCATTCATCTGGGATCAACTCATCTCCATTGGCTGACAAATATTTTTAGACAGTCCAATCCTTGATTTCGAGAATATTAGCTCGCCAGATATTGGGATGCGATGGAGCGGATATCGCGTACAAAAGCTAAAGCACAGCAATGAGTGATCAGTAGTGGGGGTAGGTAATGAATGTCAGTGAGAACATCAGTGTGTAAAAACAAGGTCTAGCGATGACGGTTCGTGCTCCAAGTCAATATGTGTCGGTTTTGCGATGCACTACCTAAGTGCGCACCGATTAATGGTTGACAAAAGACTGCTGTCAAAACATCCGCATGGTGGCAGATTAAACTAGCGCTGGATTATGTGCACTCGTTTTAGTAGGGCCATGGGTGACAAGGAAGAAAGAAATCAGTTGATATTCTTTGGGATGACTTTTCGGCCTTATTGCAGAAACAGACTACTTAAATACGAGAACACCTTAAAACCATGGATTCGAACAGGCACGCAACCAGCTAACAGCATTTCAAATACGGAATGGTCACCGCACATGAGGCTGTTCAAGATCGTTGACACGAAAAGACGGGGGACTTTGAGTGAGCCTAACGTCTGTACTCTGCCCTGCCTTAGTTTAGGCGATCTCTGATTACCACTACTATGGTTGAAGGCCAAATACTTGGCGAATGAGCCCGGTGAGGCCGTTATTCATGTTCGACCTCAAACAACGCTGAAATGACCTTAAGAATGTTTGCCTACTTACTAAGGCCAAAATAGTGTTAGAAACTAGTATGAGGAGGCCGGATTAGTGTTAAGAGTTGGAAGTTAGTATTCGGAATTAGAGTTAAGGCTTTCATTACGAACTAATATCAGGTATAATGTTAAAATGCTATTTAGCCTTACAGATGAATGAATTTCGAGTCAAAATCCAGTATTCATTGTCTCAAATCCCATTAGTTGGTCCACAAATAATGGTTCACCGAAAGTCTTATTGAGATTAATAAGTGAGTATCTGTTTGGATATGATTTTCTTGTTTACATGAAGCAATAACTGACGAAACTGAGTCTGCTATAAAACTAACTACAGTCAAGTTTATTTGTTGCCTAAGTTTAATCACTTGAGACTGCACTGAATAAACAACATACTGGATCACTATATTCACTAAAGACGCCGAATATAATTGAGAAAACCCAAAGCCGATGAGAGCTTCAAAACAAAGCTTATCCAAAGTGTAATAACTTGGAAACAAACATTAAAACGTAAAATAACACAGTGGTATGAAAAAAAAGAAAATTGATGATAAAGCTACAAAAAGTATACATATTAAACGACAAAGTGATAACAAATGGAATTCCATATTTTCTGCCTGAACCTTCCTTTGGACAATCACAGCAAATAAAGTTCACATATATAATGAATAGTCTCCTGCGTATTTGGCGCCGATGGCATGAAGACAAGTCTTAGTCCAATAATGGTTTCAGAGTTTTCTGGGTCAATAATCCCAAGCAGTGCAGAACTGCCTAAAATGATACACAGTAATATTATACTCTTCAATCAAAATCTATGGTCAACAGTTTAGAACAGAATTACTTAAGTAGGAGTTTATTTGCACGTCAGAGAAATTGCGGAGGAAGTAGACATTGATTAACGAGTGAAAAGTGATCACAGTTGATACAGATCAACAGCACATCTTTGATTTAAATATGATCACATTTACAAAGTCATGCAACGACAGAAATGATTTAGCATTTTATAGTACATACAAAAAGTGTTATATTTACTTGTCATCATAGAACTCCTTCCCATAAGGTCATACGAATTATATTTACACATAATTGATAATACAGTGAATACAATAGTAACACTGATATAGACGGATAAATGAAAAGATTTTTTCTACAAAAATTTTAGTACAAATACGTTGCTTCAGTTTGGGCACCCGAGCAGCATTACAGCCCTCACACAAATCAAATGAGATTTGTGTGGCGCATATATGTTTGTTGACCCTTTATACCAATATTTATGTGTTTAAATAAAATAAAATAAAAATTATTCCTTAAAGCTCCGCACTTACGTAGACTGAGTTATCGGTTGAATGTGAAACACTACAAACCATGCCGAGTAACTACCAAAGAAAACGAATATTTGATCCTTACGGTAATACTTTTCCAACCACGGGAAATATGATAAGCACTTTTGGTTGAAGTTTACAACTTACAGTTTATTTAGTATCTCGTTTTAAACGTCACGTAAAACAGTGATTTGCACAAAGTTCGCGTATCAATGACTCTTAGGTTATTCACATTAAGTTGTTTTCGGGATGCTATCAATTTTAAAACGAAGACGGTTAGGTTCAGTAGAGCAATTGGTATGAGAAATGAAGTTACCAAGCAACAATCGCGCTAATGTTTACAGAACAAAACAGAGTAAGGTAGTTGCTGTTCTTCACAATTATTTTTCGATCTCTGTGCAGCAGCGGACTACTGAAATATGAAAAAACCTAAAATCCATGTAGCCCAACAGATAACCAACTTACACGCAGCAATTGAATTAAGAAATGGCCATACAAGGTCGTTCAAACGGAACGGCGTGCTGCTTTGGGTTAGCATATACGCTAATATATAGGAGAGGTTTCGGATGTGCCTATAAAGATGATCAAAACATCATCCAGTAATGTCAGTTTAACGTTTTAGAATATGCACGTCTTCGTTTTCATGTGAATTTCTCACCGATTAGGGTTGAGATTGAGTTGTTGAATGTTGGAGCGTGTGGGGCATTCTTTTCGCACTCCACTGTTTTAATAGAACTAGACGGAAATTCAGGTAGAGATTAGGGAAGCTTCAAAAAACATTTCCGATAATTTGATAATTTTAGGATTCAATTTCCTTCAGCCTATTTAAATGTACGTTTCAAATAAGGAGCTTGAATGTCAAACTTTTCCTTCCTAATGACTGTGGAATATTTATTCCTTCGCTTCAATACTTCAAGTGGTCCATTGTGTTAGATGCTGCAAAAGACGCCTTATTGCACCAACCACGCAAAGTGGGATGGCTAGGAGTATTTGAGTTATAACATAAACTAGGAATCCCAGAAGCAACACAATTAAATCAAGAAGTGCTACATGAACAAGAAAGAATGTATTGTATTTGAAATTCGAAATCAATCAATCATCAAGTACAAAGGAATCATTGGTTCATATAAACATCACATCCGCCACAGCTTAAATGAGGATCCGAATTTCTGCTATCAATCTTGCCTTTTCTCTTTAGGTTCATCACGTGTCCGCCCGATTGTGTTATAGATGTAGACTCTACGATGTAAAACACACTCATTAGTATCGGAATTAACAGCCGAACTTGGAACAAATTCAACGTATTCCTGGAATTGTATACAATCATCATGACCGTTGTGTAGTGCAACCACTGATATCTAAAATTTACATCATAGACTTTCCAACACTACCCTCCCCCATGAAATAATGTTGGGTCTTTACGTCGTAATGTTTTACCAATCTAATGTCACCATTTTGTATTATCTTCCTATATTTTACTTGGATTATCATATGTGAGTATTTGGGGATACATACTGATATGTAACTTGAGGCATCGAATCGTGTGACTTCGACTTGCATAAAAATTATGATGCATATTCTTTTTGTTATTCATATTAGAATACACAGATAAATATGCATTGATATGTGTAATTGACACATGTGATTCACCTTGGCTTGATTCACCTGCGAAACAATCAAGTGGATTCATGCGTCTGCCTCATACTCATAAGAATACTCTTGGACTTGATTTGGATTTTCTACCTGTGCAAACTGGTTCTCTGATTGCTTAGGGAAAACTTCCATTCCTTCTGATTCACCTCACCACTGACTAGGGGCTCTACGCGACACATATTGGTTTGGAGATTATCCAACATCTGATACAATAACATCAGAAATGTGACTAGAATTCGATTCATTCGGGACATATTTGTCACACTCATTGGGGATATCACTAGAGATGAATCCATTGTAAAGATAAAGGACATTTGATATGACATCAGAATTTGGTTTTTCTGAAATATTTCCCTCAAATTTATTAATAGTTTCATTAAAGAATAATGAATCATTAGAAGAATTGGCATCTACCCAAACTGAATACAGTTTTCGATCTTGATTTAATTCATTTAACATTTTATTCTCAGAGTTGTAAGAAATTTCATCAAAAATATGTGAATCATTATGACAAATCACATCTGGTACAATAAATCTGATAACGAGTTGGTTGATTGGAAACTGTTGTCTCACAATGATTTTGGGTTTCACTTAACTTTGTACTGCCATGCGACGTTATACCGCTTCTAGAAGTCTTGGATAACGATAAGTGATCACCAGAGACATCCAACTTAGTTGAATCACAAATTTTAGCATTAGCGTAAGCGAAATGAAACACGGCATTACAAACTGACTAAATATGGCCAGTTTTACCACATTTAGATTTATGAAATTCACATGAATTATATGGGTGAAATTTGCCACAGAACAAGCATTTACTAAACTTGTGCTCATCTTGAACTGTTTCACAATTCGATGAATTGTTACCTGAATAATCTTGATTACGTACTGGATTGCGAGGACGTAGTAAAGTAGTGGAATGTCGGATGTCCTGGTGAGTCATCTCATTGAATTTTTCTCTCTTACTGCATTCGAAATTTGTATACTATACATGGTCCAGTAGTAGTTGCTTGAACGTTGCATAGGGAAGTGAAATCGGCTTGTCTGGAAATGCCAGTCTTTATTAAGCTGTATGCTTCTTTTCCGATGAACGTAAGATAATGAGCCACATTAATGACATCCTCAACGTCTTCCTTGGTTCTAGACAAGATTTCAAACCTTTCCATGTAATTCGCAAAAGCATCAAAATCTGAATGTATGTTCAACGATTCCATTGCGACGCCAATGTGATAGCTAGGAGTATTTGAATTATATCATACACCATGAATCCTAGAAACAACGTAATTTAATGAAGAAGTACTAGATAAACATGAAAGAATGTATTTTATTTGGAATTCGAAGGTTTGTCTTGCCGTCACTGTTGAGCACCTGGGTTTCCTTTAGAAAAGGGTCGACAACCTTGCAAGGTTCAGTGAATTCCCTATCTATAGTGTTAAGACATTCTCTCTCAGGTTCGTTCTACTTCCTGCAAATGACTGAGTACATTGCTTCTTCCGTCTTGCTAGATCCAGTCGTATATGCACGCCGACCTTATGACTTGTTTTACACTTTATAATTACCTCTGAAGTGAATTGGCCGTGACATGACCAGATTACTGACTAATATGCAAACCGATCACCATTTGTGGCACGGTCGCATTCCCAACCCAATAGTCTATAGTAAAGGTGTTTTTGGGATGTGTTATGTACCGTTGTACTACAGACTCCTTGATGTCACAGCCCATTATCAATGACATTTAGTGCTGTGTAAACGTTATTTCTCCACACACCAAATGAAGAAACAGAACTGTTCAGTCGTTGTTCTTGCACAACGTCAATGTCTGGTGCTGTTATTAATTTTAAGACATTGAGCAACGTGAAACAGGAAGATTATGACACGGATTTATCAAGAGAGCAAGTCGTATAGTGTTAAAAAGTATAAGCTGTTGACTTACTACTACTACTTATATATCTCCAAGCAAAAAAACAAACATTGATGAGCAAGAGATGGTGGTTATCTTATCTGCAAATTACGAACCAAAACTAACAAATAATCAGTTAGGAAGTTTCCATCAGTTTTAACTTCTCTAACTGGTCTACGTATGTCCATTTAAGTCAGATGCAATTTAATGACATAGTTTTTCAATCGAAGAAGCTATCTATAATAGAATAACGCACTGATCGAGGTTTCGAAAAGGTCGATGTACGTCAAAACAATTTTTAAAATCTGGCTATGAGACCTGTAAATCACAACAATACTACTTAAAGTAACCCATTTACAAACTGTAATGCAAGTAGTCAATCAAGCCTATATGGCGGTATGCTATCGTGATGTGGTTCCCATCAACGATAAGAAGAGAAAAACCAATGCAAAGATCTCCCCCTATTTAAAATTACATTATCGAAAATTATTGATTTTTAGAGAGATGTCACTGCTTCCAACAGGTATTCGACGAAATATCACTTTATCGTGGACATCGCAGGGCTTGTCACTAAACAACTAAATTACGACAATTGTTGAGATTTATCAAGCTCCATTGAAAAAGATCGCTTTGATATGCTATTCTAACTCGTAGAGTATTCAAACCGGACAAAAGCATGGTCCTTAAGAATGTATAACCTGAGTAATTAACCCTAATCAATCAAAAGTAAACTGCTAAAAACTCGTGAAACGATTTGAACATGGTAACTTTTTGCCTGAGTAACAAATGTTACGACACTTTTCAGTTTCAAATTACGCCTATGGATCAAACAGATTATTGAAAATATTTAGGCAAAGTTAATGTTCAATAGGTAGGAGGCGTCCGATTGCTAGATAAATGATATTTGTCAAGGTAGAAAAACCAAGTGTTTTTTAGTGTTTTACTACTTAATCCTAATAGCCTTGGTGAATGAATGGTAATCTGGAATATGCAGTATCTTAACTTTCGAATGAATTAACAGGAATAAATATTCTCTGCCGATGACCAGATTTCTAATATGTTGATAAACATACTGTGATTAGGAAACGACAGGTCTATTCCTAATTTTAAGAGGATCTAATACTAAATCCTCATTTTTACATTTCATTTATAAATTAGATAAGTTAAAATAGAAATAGGTATTTAAGCAGAAATTTTCAAGTAGGCAACCTAACGGACTAGGTAAGTAACTGCAAAAAACTTCAATTAATTGAGAATACTGTTTCTGTTATCTTCAGCCTTTTAAAAAGAATATGAAGTTTAAGAATAAAAAGGATTTTAAAAATTTTAATGATACTCCTTAAAATAAATATCCAGGATGCTTTGTTGGTAGAATTTTAGAAAAATACGATTTGTGACTAGGTAAAGGTCCTAAAGTCATGACTTTGAACAGAAGTTATGTGACGTAAGAAAACTACTTTACATTAATTAAAAAGCAATCCAATAAAAGCAAAATTATAGTATTCTATAAAACGGTAAAGACAGTATAATACACACGGGAAAAATCCTAATCTAAACCCATTTAATATCAAAGTAAACAATCAAATACAAGTTTTTAGACTCGGTTTTGAACTACATCATTTATCTATTTAAACACAAATATTGGTACGAGGAAGCACCAGATAAATATGTGCCTCACAAATCTCATTCAGTTTGTCAAATGATTCGTATATCGAAAGAAACGCTTTATAAATGAATAAATTCACAGAAAAAATGAGCATGACTACCTATGTCTTTACGAGTAACTTACATCATAGGATGCTGAATTCTACAGAGGCACTAAGGGATGAAATAAGATTTCTTTTCTGGTTGTTTTTGCCAAGATGCATCAACAGGGTTGTCATCATAAAAATACTTTTCTTAGTGCAGTGACTTTAGTTTCTTAATATATCTTTAAAGATGCTCATCATAAAGTCAAAAGTATGGTGTGGTTGAGTTACTATGCAGGACTGACGTACCAGAATAACCACTTGATAGTCTTACTACGCTTAAAAAACGAAAATTTCATACAATTAGACACATTTATTAGAAATTAGTCCCATGTTAGATTTGGGTATTAAAGTATAACATGCTAATACATAAAAGTAGTTGATTTTATGTTATTACCCAAATAATCTAAATAGTCTTAAAAATATCAGAAAGAGAAGTTAAAGTAAAAGAACCAAAAATATTTTCACAAGGCCCATAGTTTCTTCACGGCTGAAATAAATCCTATATCATTAAAATTGAAATATAAAAGGCCAGCAAAACCGAAACCAGCCATTACTTTCCACAATGTACGTAATATAGGCATCAGTGCAGGACCATAACGACGTTCAAATGCATAGTCTTTGATGACACCGTCAAATCCCCTAAAGCGTACATAAAAAATTACCGTTACAATCTTCAATTGACACATTTTAATTTAATTACATAAGATGGTAGTTTACATGAAATTTAGTTGAAAATATATTCAACAAAAAATATATAAAACACTAGTTCGATAGTCATAATCAATATACGGTCTGTGACAAAGGTGTATTAAACCAGGTTGCCATATCATATTAGCACAACATAAAATTACCAAGATAAGTAGCACAGAAGTCGAAGTAATTACTATACGTATAAAGATGATAGTAATTACAAGAATTTAATAGGTAAGACATTAGACCTGAAAAAAGACAACAGTGCAATCAAACTTCAATGAAGGACTTAATTTGTCATAAAAATTCCTTAAGAGTACGTTACAACAGGAATATCAGATAGTAGAGCATACAAGAAATGAGTTATTCAGCTGTAAACACGATAGCTTTCAGTATAAATATATGTTACCATACGTTGCCGCACTGTACATCAAAAGACCAAGTGGGAGCTGATATGAAAATCAAAGGAGTAAAAGTAATAGTACTTTTACTAATATTTACAGCATTTTAACGCTCATCGAATAGTTGAGCATTACTGTTGTACAGTGAATAAAACTACATTTTGGGAGTAAATGAGAGTCAAATGTACAAGCAGGTAATTAGTAAACTACTCATTCTATACAATCTGTAGAGTAACATATTATGAATCTTATCGAAAATATAGGTGAGTGGAATTAACTTTTAACCTATAAGCTAATAAGGTTTTAAAATATTACAAACATCTACATTATAAATTGAACACAGTGAGAGAACTACTTTTACATCGTTTCGCATATCATACGAATGACCTAAATGATCAAAGTACGTCTATATGTAAAGCTAACGTCGTTTATTCTGAACAAACGAGTGCAGTTAAAGGTCCAAAAACCTAACTACTTTTAGCTCAAGTCAGGTGATGATAAAACATTTTAGTATTAGTACTTTGCAAATGTTGCCAAAGATTTCACTCCGCAGATGTAGAGTAACTACAAAAATTGGAACGTAAGGCATATGACACTATTTCAAAAAGTGTTCAGTCAGTCAGTTAATACAATGTCCAGAATAATACAGAAATAGTCGCAAAGGCATTTACATAAGGCATAATTATAAGCTGAATACACTGAGAATACGAGAATAAAGTGATTACTAATAGTGTTACTGATCAGTAATTCGTCAGCTGAAATTCGAAAACTAGTGTACGCAGATAATCGCATTTGATGATTAGTAGTTACAGAATTTAAATCCATAGTTTAAAAATTGATCGTGGTTGCACAGATGTACACAGGAACTATTATCCTTAATTTCCTGAAGATCGTATTTCATAACATTTATTCTTTGTGATCAACTCATCTTCGTTGTTTTCCAGTGTACCATCAGTGTTGGTTTTATTTATTTTATCTTTCATCTGAGTTAGATGTTCTGTCGTAAATTGTAGCAACTAGTCTCTACGCTATCCCAGGTTCCATATAGTTTCTATGTTTCTTTGATTCTTATGAAAGCCACAGAAGATAACAGTACCAATGCGATTCACACTTGTTGGCTCCCTAAGTGCAGATGAAGGAAGATCCGACAAATGACTACAAATTCAAGACTTGTGTCGGGTCGCACTCTAGATACTCGGAAGGAACTGAGTCATTTGAAATGAACGAAATATTGTACGGTAACCCAATTACGAGCGAAGTGTAGGGATGTAAACGAAGCAACATGTTATAAGTTTTCTTTTATTACGACCTAACTATTCCTATTGCTTAGTATTCTTGGACACTAATACACTCGATAAGTTTCCAAACCAGAACACGGAAGAAATTATGTTCCGAATAACAAGGATAAATGGAAGTAAGAGACACAATAAGAAATACGTTAGTATATTTATAGTTTCACATGAGATTTTGAAATCATCTCTAAGCATCGACTAGAGCTAATTGGATAAGAATTAGCCAATCAGCATGCACCAACACAATCGTGCATGGAACATGTTTTAATCTAATCTATGTTCCTCTAACACAATAATTGAGACAAGTGGTTGAAGCTGTGCATATAACCAGCATTTACATTTAAGCATCAACGCAATTAAAGAAGGTCAACTATGACAAATAGTTTGAGTACTTAATCTAAGGAGGCTGTTTGCTCACAAAAGTAGTTGATTCTGGACGAAAACAAATGGTCAATAGGAGATCTTAGTGATGAGATTTTCAAAGCCCTTAATTCTCACAAAAGAAGTTACTTAAAAACCAAAGTTTTACGAAAGGAATGCCAATAGACAAATGGATAAGATTGTAGAACTCACCAGTACGAATGCATGGAAACAGCAGTTACTACTATAAGATTCATCATAGGGGTATCCATATAGAGTGCAATCGGATATAATGGCAACATGCTTGCAGCTAGAATACGTTCAAATGTCCAGTGATATGATGGTAACAGTCCGGTTCTCTGAACAGCTGGTGCTGTATAATAGAGATACAAATAAATAAATGATTTTGCAGGAGCAAATGCTCGGTCCAGAACAGTAGTTAAAATTCATGAATCAATTGTTATTAAGATTGTAAACATGAAATAGATTATTAACCTCCTGTTTCTTTTAATCTCTTATTTAACAGAAAAATATGCAACCTACCATTCGCAAAAAAATTTATCTGCTTTATGTAACCTATATAAATTTCAACCACTTCAGTGGTGGACTCAAAATTCAATAATAGTGTGTGCAACTATCTGAAACACTCAATAGCAAAAAGCGATTGCACATTGCTCCGTTATTTTTTGTCTAAAATAGCGATAACATTTGAATACTAAAATTCGTGTCTAAATTCATATAGGTTTGTATAAATGAGGTTCACATTTAAGCCAATTGGCTTACCGAATTTATCTATTAGTTTAATTAACCTGAGTATTAGTCATTCCGTGGTTATACCAAACTCAAGCAACAGCAAAAGAATACTTTGGGACAGTGACTACTCTGACCATTTTTATATCTGGGGCTGGCATTATAACTTATCCTAACAAACAACATGCGCTGAGGAAATAAAGTCATTTAGTTGTCATGACATGTGAGCCGGAAATCTGTGCCCTAACTCAGTACTTTTGCCGTGAGTAGATCTCCTATGGAAACTAAACATATTCAGTATAATCATGTTTTTTATCTTTAAAAGACGTTTCATAGTCACACAGTAGCATGAACCAGTTTGGTGTACAGTAAGGCTGATAAAAAATGATTCTTAGACGTTAACTGTTTTCCTAAGCCCGAATAAAAATTCATCTTAGTTCCTTGCATGACTACAGATTTAGAAAGTCATTTATATCACAACATAACCGTTTAAAAATTGCTTCGGAGTTAGGCATTAGCAACTGGCTTTCCTCTGATTAATACCATGAGAAATGAGAATTAACGAGAGAAACACCAGTTTCTTTAATTATGGGGATATTTTAAAGGAAAATATGCACAATGATAGGTGGGACGTCACACTGAAGGGATAATCAGAGAACATAACTTCATTCTCTTACAAAAGCGGTCCCAGATCTCAATTTAAAAAAAATGAGGAATGGTCGAAAGCCGTGAACACGGCTTTTAAAGAAGCTAAACACGTTCCTAGTTTAATTATTTGGAATCTAGAAGGGTCGAAAGACAATGACCCTGCTAAAAGACACGCACACGTTTTGCAGTTAATGGGATCTGTCATCGAAAATGTACTGCCTGAAGAGATTTCAGGGGGACATATCACGAAAGTAATGAAACTCGGTAAATGGGTTGAAGGCGAGACCCAACAAAAAAGGATCTTGAAGTTAGTACTCGGGAATTTCGAGGTAAGAGACGTAATATTGAATAACGCACACAAAACTCATTATTCAAATATTCGTATTCGACCAGATTGGCCGCTTGAGGATCGGATAAAGTGGAAGAACGCTCTTACACAGTTAAAAACTCAAAAGCTAAATGGTGAAACAAACCCTACGATTAGGGGTTTTTCAGGTAGTCAGGTCTTGGAAGCCAATGTTTTCGAGACCTGTATGGGTAGAACGTTTGACTCCCAAAACACCTTAAATGTGTGCTACATGAATGCTTGTAGTCTTCGAAATAAAATGTCCGAGCGAAGTTTGATGGTGGGTGAATTAAGTCCCGATATAACTGTTGTCACACAAACATGACTCATTGTAGATATAAGTTGTTCTCCTATCGTTGCAGGCTACAGCTGTATCAGAAGTGATAGAGTTATAAGTCGCAAGGGAGGAGGCGTAATGTTATATGTTAGGGATGTTCGGAAATTAAAAGTTCCTATATGTAGTTTAGAGCGTGGTTTCAGGAGACCAGGAATAACGTTCTGTGTACTCGAATCGTTTGCCCTAGCGGTGCGACGTGATAAAAGGACGTGGGAAGGGTTAGTCGAGGAGATAACAGAGTTATTAGGTGTAGGAAGGATTTGAAAGCGACCAACTTGGTCTTGTGTGCAGTTAAGGGTATGAGGGCTAGTATCACTTCCCGGCTGCCCATACTGTGGAAGGGTATTTCTTGAGGGACCTGAAAAAGAAGTTGGATTAGTGTTGGTCTTAACGACCTGGGAGCGTGACCGCAGTGCCCAAGGGACATCTGCTTGAGGCCGGTCACGCACGGCCTTTTTGTGGGGGATTTTTGACGTGTTAGCTCCGTTCTTCAAAAGTCCTTACCGCCGGAGACGGAAATCCGTGGGATAAGGCGAGGTGTGCATTTTTAGGGTCGACCTTTTCTAACCCCACCCCTCCTTGTGGGAAGGCAGCATCGCTGTCATGCTGGTTGTCTGAAGGAAACACCTTACTGCTTTCACACCTCTGTACAGTCAGCAGTACGACTTCGCCTTCGGACCTTGGGATTGCTGCTTTTAGTCTCACCGCTCTTCAACCGACCTGTCTGGCATGGTAGGACCTTGAGGAACGATTGTTCCAGCCAGCATAGCTCGATTGGATCATCACGATAGGCAAGCCCGACCACCACGTCAAGGTAGCAGCAACGGTCGGGCATGTTAGTGGTACATGTGAGGTAACATGTTGCATAATTAGGTCTAGAAACGGGTTAGTGACTATAGGAGGAATATATCGTAGTCCGTGTTGTTTTGCTAACGACTTTATTATAAGGCACTTATGTTCTTGGAGTAAGGCAGAATGTCTCATCATTGGAGACTTCAACGCACTACATATCAACTGGATAAAGCTCACAAATTTTATTTGGGGTTTCGATAGCGACCTATCAACAATTATTCAGTGTGCACTTGTACAATGTATCGTAAAACCGACACTTATTGACTTGGAACATGATCCGTCACTGCTAGATCTTGTCCTCACACACCACCGTGAAGATGTCGTCAACATTCAACACCTTCCCCACTAGTGAATAGTGGTCACGTACTTTCCTTTAAGTTCCGAACACATGGAATACAATTTGAATCTGCTCCACCCCGTCCCAATATCTGGAGAGCTAATAATACGGCAATCAGAGACTGTGCTATCTCGATTGACTGGTCGGTCGATGCTGATGGATCGATCGAAAACGAATGGAATGAGTTTAAGGCTATATTCGAGTCCGTAACGCAACCGTTTATCCCATGGTCAAAACGTAAGTTATCACATTGCTCCCCATGGATTAATAAGGAAACCCGGAAGCTGTTGAAGCGTAGGAAACACTTCTGGGACTTATTCTTGTCAACAGGTCAAGCATCATCTAAGTGCGAATACAAAAAAATCAGGAATATATGTAAAAAGACCATAGCTTAATTCCGTACTACTTACGAACGACAGTTGGCATATGATAACCCTACTTGTCCGAAGCGATTGTTTTCGTACTTTAAACAGCGAACAAAACGTAGTGATAGTATTCCCGCGTTAATGTTACACGAAAATTCAGACTTACTAGCTGAATCTGATCTCGCAAAGGCTGAGACTTTCTAACTATTTTAGTGAAGTCTACTCTCGATACAGTGTTACAAATATTTGTCCCAATTACACCGAGATACTAGCCACATGGATCTGTACATGTGACTGAGGAAACTGTTCTTCCATTGATAACTAACCTCAAACCTTATAAGGTACAGGGCCCTGAAAACTTACATCCACGTTTGCTGACATCCTTGCAGAAATTATTTTGAGACCACTCGCGACGCTCTTAAACATGATCTTTTCAATCGCTCAACTCCCTAGAGATTGGAAAGACGCTATAGTCAGTCCCATATTTAAGGATGGTCAGAGACGGATCGTTTGTAACTAACCAGCATAGTCGTTAAGTTACTTGTAAAGATAATTCGGGTTAAGTTACTAAGTCACATAGATTCGTACAATCTGTTAACTCCCGAGCAACACGGGTTTTGTAGCAAACGTTCATGCTTGACTAACTTATTGCCAAAGAGGATTGGACAGTAGCCGTAGATAACGGTCTGTCTGTCGAAGTGATATTCATAGATTTTAGCAAAGCGTTTGACAAGGTTTCACACTTAGGTCTTATGTAGAGCCTCTCGAGCTTTGGAATAACAGGTGTTGTACAGGAGTGGATAGGAAACTTTTTATGTGACCGCAGACAGAGAGTGGGGGTCAATGGAACGCTATCCGAATGGAAACCAGTCAAGAGTGGTGTACCCCAAGGCACCACCTTAAAACCTCTATTTCCCTTCTCTATGTTAATGAATTAGCGCTATTGCTTAAGTCGTCGACATTATTGTTTGCGGATGATGTCAGAATCCGGAGAACAATAAGAAGTGAGGCTGATCATTTTCGTCTCCAAGCTGACTTAGACGAATTAGTTAGATGGGCTCGCAGTTGGGGCTTAGAAGTTAATTCTAGGAAGCGAGTGCTCATGCACATCGGACACGGTAATAATTACCAATATATCATTGATGGTACATCTCTTCCACGCGTTCAAGAATACAGACTTAGGAGTAATAATAAGCCACGACTTGAAAACAACTACGTACTGCAACACACCTGTTTCCATAGGTTATCGTGCGTTATGGCCACTTCGCCGAGCATTTAAATGCTTTGAAGGGACGTTTCAAATTTTATAACCCACCTACGTAAGACCACACTTGGAGTACTTTATCCAAGCTGCTAGACCATGTCTGATTAAGGATACTAGCTCACTTGAGCGTGTCCAGCATGTGGGGACGAAATTAGTGGTCTTTCTAAATTCCCTTACAACGAACGTTTAAAACGCCTAAACTGCGATTTAATAAACTTGAAGTGGGGTCCCGTTTTTCTGATCCAGCGATCAATGACTGGAACGCCTTACCCGAGCAAGTGGTGTCAGCCCCGTCAGTGAACATTTTCAAGTGAAAGCTGTACCTTCACTAGGAGGCAATCTGTCAGGATTAGCAAAGGTTTACCAACCTACTATCCTTATTACTGAAGACTGAAGGTGAACTTTGAGGAAATACGGGTTACAGGCTATTAATTTATTGATGTTAACCCAGACGACTGCAAATAAAACGAACTTTTCTTGCCTATAGTGAGAAGACTAGATATTTTTTCTGTTTCCCTTGAGGCGAAGATTCAATAAATTTACACCTTGGTGATCAACAAATTGTATAAATTTACACGCCGACCAGCGAATGACTCGGGTCATTAATGATCCTATCACCATATTATTACACTGTTGTATCACATAATGAGTTTACAACCCCTGTATTGGAAATACAGAAGTTAATACCGACCTAAATTAAGTCTGTAACCCAAAAAAATATGGGGCAAGAAATATGATAGTTCTAATTTTTTTTTAAATGTGACTCTAAAAATCACATTACCCGTTCCAAGTTTATTAGATTTCAAAGCATGATCCTGTGTGATAGGGCGACAAATTGGTAAAACACTCCTAGCAAGCAGTTGTATGGAACGTAGTCTGCATTGGTAGCTGTATGCTAGCATCTTGAACAACGGCCAGTTTTCAATTGACGCGGTGAAACTTGGATTCATGATCAAATTGTTGTAGAAAGGGTAGAAGGAATGGAATGTTTCCATGAAGTTGTTGCCCTCTGCCTCTCAGTGTTGGATATATACTAAACATCTTGCATTTCCCGTCTACTTATTGAGTAAATTCTGCATACGAGGGTATAACTTCCACTGAGGAATTTCATCTCAAGTCTGATCTATGATCTTTTGTTTTTTCACACGCCAAACTGGGAGACGTCACGGTATAGTGTATACAGAAGGTAGTAGGATCAATAAAACTGGACTTCCCGTGGAAATCAAATGCACATATGTAGCAATGATGCATAAAATAAATGGAATGATGCTTGGAAACTTTAGATATTACTCTTTCATTGAACAAAGAAAAGAAGGATGGTGATCTGAAGCCAAAGTAGAAGCCTTGGTTTTGGGTACTTAAAACGGTGGTTTATTAGTATCACAGTCTTTCAGGTTTTATGCGCTTAATATATCTATGTCCCGTTTTAAAAGCGACACTCACAAAACCTATTCACAGAGGTGTGACTTCATGGTGCAGAAGAATGGAGATTCTAGACCCCAGCTAATAAAGATAACTTCGCAATCCTCCCATATGGTGGCTGCAACTGTGGAAGCATATCGTGCCAACAGACGTCGGTTGCCAACTGGAATCCACAAGACACAGGCAAGTTGGAACTGACAATTCCACTTGTGGAATGTCTTGACCATAAAAAAGCATGTAAAGGACAGGGGCTACCAACCCAGAAAACTTTGTATAGATAGGCCACCCTTCCATTCACGTAGGGCTCATACAGACAAACAAGAAGAAATAAAGACAGAACAAATCTTGATGCAGAATAACATGAATTCATTATATTTTGTGGTTTCTCATGAGATGCTTACAACCAAATATGTATTAGAGTTTTAGCATTGGGGTTAAAAATAGTATGAAACAATTGACATAATTGAATGTAAAGGATTGGAATAACAAAAGGTTATCAATGATAACTATATATATATATATATATATATATATATATGTGCAAGGAAAGGTCAGAGGTTATTAGGTATTAGAATGAAGGAATCATGAAGGGTGGGTGGCGTAATAGTTGAGTGGAGTTCAAAGACAGATAAGATCAAATGTGTGATAATTTTAGAGGTAGTGAAGGAGTCTTGGAATTAAAAACAATTACGATGGGTTACGTAATGATTGAATAGAATTAGGAGAGTTCTTATAATTAAGAGAGACAAGTGAGCGGAGATGTATGAGAGAAAGGGGGGTATAAGAATTTGGTAAGGGAGGAGGAATGTAGTAAAAATTAAATATTAACCAAAATAAAACTAATATCGAAAAATAAAACAAAAAAAGATTACCAGGGTAATAATAAGTTTATCACAGTCTCTTGTTTAATAAATAGATCCGGTTTGAGTTTTTTTTAACGCGATCGCCTCAGCAAACCGGAGAGCAAACGTACTTCTTTGTTTGCTAATGATTTTGAAAGCATGAGAAATGTTGATGGTGTGCCCGGTGTCCAGTAAATGCCGAGCTATTGCGCTATTGAAAGCCCTGGTCCCTCGCAGACACAGTTTCTTAGGAACTTGCTCAGAAATACAAACATGTACTCTTCTCTCGCCTCTTCCAATGTATGTGCTTGGGAACGTACATGTAAATTGGTAAATGCAGTTGGAGCTACTGAGAAAAGAAGACTTGTCGATTTTAGCTTGTTTGAGTGAGCAGTTACTTTCCCACACCGTTGTCAGTTTAGCTGCTGGGTAGGTCGCTTTCAACGCAGAATTAAGTCTGTGAAAAACTATTCCGGCGATTTCATCTCAAATTGGCATATAATTCCCATTTAAACATCAAAATTGAAAACACGAAGTTCAGCGAATAGTTGAACTACATCGCAACATATCTCTAAGAAGTCACGCATTGTTTGAATTGTCGGCAGATGAACGTAAACAATTTGAGGATTATGTTACTGATGTTACTGAAAAACAGTCACTAAAAGCTAAACGTAAACATTTAGAAACATCGCAACATGTAGACGTGATTAAGAAGTTTCCAGAACATCCTGGAAACTATGTATTTAATCATTCTTCTAATGAGCTTTCGGTAATCCAATTGCAGGCCCTATCATTGGGTCCCAAATTCTGTAATAGCACCTCTAAAAGCAGTAGACTTTATACGCAAATTCAATTCGAAAATCTATCGAACCAAACTCATGATCTTGTGCCAACATCCCCACAAAATCTTCAGCATTTCAAATCCACACTACTGGACTGTAGTCATGGATATGTTAATATACAGGGTGCTAAGAATAACTTATTAACTAAGAACCATCTGGATTAGCTAATTCTCCTGAAAAGAAATAAGGATTTAATCTTAAGTAAACCCGACAAAGGAGCTGGTGTGGTATTACTTGACCGTCAAGAATATTTGTATAAAATGAGGTAATCCTAGAGGATGTCACTAAATTCTCCATACCTAAAGGAGAAGGTGACAAAACACCAGATTGAAAAACAGCTAACGGATATTGTTAAAAATCTTAAAAATAAGGGGATAATAACCCAGGATTTATATGATCACATACGCCCAATGGGTTCAATCATCCCACGCTTATATGGACTACCTAAAGTACATAAAACTGGTTTACCATTACGACCTAATTTGGATATGTCAAGCTCACTATACCACCGAATAGCCCAATGGTCAGCTGAAAAATTGAAACCAGTTAGAAGTCAAGTATCTAAATATTCTATTCATGATACTTTTCAATTTATTGATCGTATTAAGGATGTTAATACTTCCGGAAAACACACTGTAAATAATTCCCCAAAATCAATGGCTCATTAAATGTTCGACATTGGATGCTGACCACGTTGTTTAAGTGGACTTGTTTAGCTGAAGGCTTTCGGTCATGCATCCGTACCAGATCACGTTACAACACGGCTTGGGACACAGCTCCTACGTTCATTAGCCAGCTTATAGTAAAGGTTCCTCGATATATTGGTAACGTATCAAATATATCTTTCCTACCTCTCCTCGTCTGATTTCTGGTTTCTATTCGACTGGGAACGAACGATTATAGAAGATACTGCTGGTTGCTTGTTGCAAAACTAGAATATCCGTTGTATCCTCAACATGTTCTCGCTTGATGTTAATTCTTTATTCACTAGTGTACTGTTAACAGAAACGATATGTTATATTTGTGAGTATATTGACTCTAACAACATAGATCTAGGTATTCCAACTCAACACTTAAAAGAACTATTGTTACGCTGTACCTTTAATGTCCAGTTTAGTTTGAACAATGAAATATATAGACAAAGAGATGGGATTGCAATGGGATATCCATTAGGTCCAATTCTAGCAGACTGCTTCATGGCAAAACTAGGAAACGATCAACTCAGTTCAATGATGAATCGATTCCAACTATACGTAAGATACATGGACGACACATTTGTCGTTTGTGACGATAATATTGATTTGGACGATATCTCACACTCCTTTAACTCGTGCCACCCTTCCATAGACTTTGCATTAGAAAGAGAGAAAGACCAATCGATCCCTTTTCTTGATGTACATCTATTGAGAAGAAGTAATGGTTCTTTAAAAAGATCTATCTTTAGAAAGCAAACATGGAACGGCCAACTAACCAACTTCTATAGCTGGGTTCCGCTAAATAGAAAGAGAAACTTGATTCATACTTTATGCTATCGTATACATCGGATATGTAGTACGGGATGCATTAACGAAGAACTCGAGTTCCTCAAGAAAAATTTTATGAAAAATGGCTACCCGGACCGATTCATAGAGAAGAATATCAATAGAAGTAGCGTCGATTGGAATCCTAGTTATTCAGTCCCAAAGCCTTTATATACGTCTGGAATTTAAAGGTGATCGAACATTAGACATAATTAAAAATCGTTCAACAACAACGATTAAAAGGACATTTAACGCTGCTAAAATACGAATAACCTTCACTAGTAAGAAATTATTTTCTTGTCCATAAAAGATAAGCTTTCGAGTTTGGTCGTCTCTATGTGCAACTACCAGTTCACCTGCTCTTGTGGAGCAATGTACATCGGCCGTAGCCAGCGCTCGCTTTCAACTCGGATACGAGAACATATACCAGTTTGGTTATACAATGGTGGAAAGAAAGCAGTTAGAAGTTCTATACATGAACACTTAATCGACTGTAATCATTTGACGAATCCACAGTCTGATTTTAAGGTTGTTTATATGATTCGTTCAAATCTACCAAGATTTCTTCGTATCAAACTCCTAAAAATAGCCGAAGCTCTTACCATCCACGAGCTCAAACCAGAACTATGCGTACAAAAGAAGTACGTCTTATCATTATCGTTATCATGGCCTTATTATTATTATCATTCTATTATTATTACTCCATTTCCCCTTTACTTATGTTTTATATTCTCATTATTTTATCCATGAAAACTCATCATATCATTTTATTTATTTTACACCTCTACGACTTTTAATGACCTCTAATTATTGTAACCAAAACATTTCATTCATCTTATTATATTCACTAAATCTGTTTTTATTATTCGTATTACGTAATCCAGTATTATAATCTTGGTTACTAGTGTTTACATTTCCTCACGGAATTAGTACTTTAACAAAACACTCACATATATATACGATTGTACAGCTTGATAATAAATTCGTTGAAAAGAGATCCCTTCGCTGAACTTCGTGTTTTCGATTTCATTTCCTTTGAAACGTAGGTATAAGAAGCATGTTTTCTTTTCCACTCGATCATACTTTACTTGACGGTTGTTGTTCGCGTATTTATGAATGAATTTCTCCGGGTATGCATTTTCACGTAGGTACTTTGTGATTAAAGCCATTTCTTCTTCAATACACTCATTTGGGCAGGTGGAAAAGGGTTCGTACAATACCCTTTTCAAAACTAAATGGACATTAGCATAAATTGCTTACACATAAGATGGATGAGCTACGTGAACATTGCAATGCTAATAAGGTTCATCTGATAGGAATATCTGAAACCTGGGTATCTTCTCAGTTCGCGGCCCCGGCGCTAGTAAGATTG